GACAAATTTTGCTGTGGGTCCTCAAAAGAAAAACCAAACGAGGTTCTCCTTTCATCTTTTTTTCTGTCCTGAGAGGTTGGCTTTTCAACCAATGAGAACACTCTTTCTGGTCTCTGTCAGCTGGTTGGCCTGCAACAGGCACCCAGTTAAATAGACTGGGAGCCCAAAACATGAGGTGACAAGCGCATTTCCTTTGTCCAACCATGCCAGCTCTCAGGGGAATTTGTCTTAATAAGAGGTCCCAGTCCACAACAGTCTTTTGTTTCCTCAATTTTTAGTTGCTTGGATCAGTGCTAGGAAACTCACACCCAATATGGTCTGTCTGGTGTCACAAATTAGTGGGTTTATAACTGGAGTCATTTCATGTTCCATGGGAGACCAGAGGCATCATTTGCCAAACACTATCCTGAATTGCCTGTGGAACAAAGGACTTTGTCCATCTCTGGAAGTGGACTTTTGGTTATGGGGGCTGCATCTTCTTTGTCCACACTGGGAACAACATTTGTGTCCATAGCATTCTAAACCTGCAAAGTTACCTGTGGGTTTTTCTATCAAAAGGCTTATTGGTTGAGTCATTTGGGGTATAAATAAATTTGCTATATTTTTTTAAATATTCTTTTTAGAAAGGTCTCCTTCAAAACAACTGTCTTATTGGCACATGTGGGGTGATCAAATTAAAAAGAGGATACAGAGAAATATAATGGTTAGCCTTAGGGACCTTATTAGCAAGATTAAAAAGGAGAAATCAGATTTAAAACAAGTTAAAATCCTTTAAATCCACCATAAATTCCTCTTCTCCACCTTCTTTTGACTCCCGTTTACTTTTAACTCCCTGTCCTCAACCCTCTAGAAGATCTTTTGGAACTCTGGGCCCTGATTTAAACTCCCCTCTCAAAACCTGGACACATTTTCTTAGCAAATTCCTTTAGCTCAGAAGAGAAACATTTATAAGAATAGTTTGAATTATGGTGCTTGGTCTTTGGATGCCCATTTGTTATTAATGCTTTCCCTCTCACAGACAGCTATTGCTTTCCTGTCTGTCTCATTTTTTGTCCTGAGATCTTGGCTTGTCTTTCTTCCTGTTGGGGGCACATAGGTTACCAGGCCTGCATATGTATGCAGCCAACTGAAAGGCTGGGAGCTCCCAAGATTATGGCTGGACAGAAATGTGGTTTGGACCCCATTCACAGCTAGCATACTGACTGTTGCCAGCTCTTGGAACTTGTCTAAGTCGTTCTCTTGTCTGTCTTTGTAAATGGCTCTGGAACTTGCATCTTCTTGTTCCCTTTTTGGAAATGTAGTATGAGTCCATGGTTAGGCCATAAAAGAGTTATTGGTTTTGGTATTGAGTATAACAATCCAATTTAAAAAAAGTGGGCAAAACATCTGAAACAGATACTTCCCCCAATATATACAGATGGCAAATAGCAAATGAAGAGATGCTCAGAATCATTTGCCATTAGCATCAAAAGACAAAATTATAAGAAATATAGTGTAAAGTTCTTAATTGGCTTTTCTTTGGGATTCTGGAATCAGACAACACTTTGCTCTATAAAATAGAATGCATGTTACAAAAAACAGAGCAAAGGAGTTTGGCTATATAGATAGAAGAGAGCTGTAGAAAGCAGAAAAGAGAACAAAAAGTGGATTTGGTTGTTTAGAAGTTATTTTTCTTGTAGATATTAAAGCAGGGAGACTTCCTTAAAATGTCAGAAAAACTTGCCTGTTTGGGGATTTGGCTATTCTCTCTCTCTCTCTCTCCTGATTTCTCAGAAGATCAGATAAATAACTTAGTTTCAGCTTGGAAACATGGAGCTTTAGCATGAGTGACTCCATTTTGGTTTGGTCTGTTGGACCTAGTGCAGGAGCTCAGTCTAAACCAATGGTCTCCTATAAAGTTTATTCAACATTATGTAAACTCAAATTAAATAGCATAGGCTACCACTACAAACTTATTATAGTGGCTATAGTCCAAAACACTGACAATACCAATGCTGATTCAGAGCTATAAGAACTCTCTTATCCCTTACTAGTGGGAATGCACAATAGTTCAGCCATTTGGAAGATAGCTTGGCAGTTTTTTATAAAATGAAATGTAAATATGAATCCAAACAATATGATCCAACAATCATATTTTTGGATTTAGTTATTCACTCAAGTGGATTGAAAACAGGGTCATACAAAAAAAAAGTATGACAACTTTTACAGCAAATTTATTCATAATCACCCAAAACTGGAGAAAACAAAGATGTTCTTCAATAGAATAATGTATAAACAAACTATTATATATAAATACAATGGAATACTGTTCAGTGATAAGATGGAGGATGCTATAGATTTACAGTATGGATGAATTTTAAATGCATTTTGCTAGATGAAAGAAGGCAGACCTAAAAGGCTACTGTATGCTTTCATTCACATGATAGTCAAAAAAGACAGAATAATAAGCATAGATTTGTTAGGTTTGTTCCAGGTGGGAACCAGAAAAATGTGTATAGGACAGAATGTGGTTAATGCAAAATTTAGGCTTGTAAAACAATAGCCGCAGGAGTCTAGAGTTCCTGGACTTTGTAAATCTAACAAATAGCTACAGACAGCATTCCTTCCTCGTCCCTCCCTGGTAGAGATGAAGTTTATCCTTCCCTAGCTCTCATGGTAAGAACAACACCACAGCTGAAGGATGAATGTGACTGGGGCAAAGGGGTCTCAGGATTTGGTTGGGTTTTTTTTGTTTTTTTTTTTTGAGACAGAGTCTCGCTTTGTTGCACAGGCTAGAGTGAGTGCCATGGCATCAGCCTAGCTCACAGCAACCTCAAACTCCCTGGGCTCAAGCAATCCTGCTGCCTCAGCCTCCCGAGTAGCTGGGACTACAGGCATGTGCCACCATGCCCAGATAATTTTTTTTTTTCCTAGTTGGCCAATTAATTTCTTTCTATTTATAGTAGAGATGGGGGGGGGGTCTCGCTCTTGCTGAGGCTGGTTTCGAACCCCTTTCGAACCCCTGACCTTGAGCAATCCGCCAGCTTCAGCCTCCCAGAGTGCTAGGACTACAGGCGTGAGCCACCGTGCCTCCCAGAGTGCTAGGACTACAGGCGTGAGCCACCGTGCCCGGCCAGGATTTGGTTCTTTGCAAAAGAATTTATTACAAGCAGCTGTGCTGGCCCACTTACTCCCCCTGAAAAACCCAAGGCTCTATAAAACCCAAGGCTCTATAAAACCCAAGGCTCTCCCCTTTTCTCTCATGGACACTTTTTTGCCTCCACCCATCTGTGCCTAGATGCTTAAAATAAACAGCATTTTGCTACACATGAGACTTCGTGTGTTTCTCTCTCTCAGTTCCGGACCTAACAAGATTCATATGATATTGTGGAAAAGGAAAAAAAGGATGTAAAATAAGGATTAAGGGAAGGGGAGGAGGTTTTTAGGGTTTAAGAGAATTTTTAGGGTGATGAAACTCCTTGTATGGTATTGCAGTGGTGACCATCCAACTCTATGCCTTTTGTCAAATCCAGTAGAGAGAACTGTACACCATCAAAGAGTAAACTTAACTATAAACAAATTTTTAAAATATTAATCAGAATATCAATGGATCTCTGAATGAAATGCTGACTACGACAAAAAATCCAACTATATTACAAATATATAACTTAACCTCACTGCAAAAAGTGCAGAACAAAAGAGGTAACCTAAATAATTTTGAAAATCTTGACTGGATAATCTAAAGCTGGAGGTTGCCCCTGGTCAAGAACCACTAGTATATGAAAACACTCTACTACTTTTACATCTCTTCTGAAGATCTAAACTTATTTCACAATCAAGGTTGTTTTAAAAGGCAGAGAGCAAAATAGAAAAAAATGGATGAAACACATAAATAGGCATTAAATAGAGGAGGAAAAAAGAATGGCCAATAAACGTGAAAATAAGCTCAACATCATCAATCAAGGAAGGTAAATAAAATTCATATTATTTTGCAGCCACTAGCTTGGTGGGGGGTGGATGGAGGAATCTAAAACAAAAGAAGCCAAAAAATAAAACTAAAGAACTGGTTCAAAGGTAAATTTACTTCTGACAAATGGCTACTCCCCAGGTTGCTATCATTAATGAATATAAATACAAAACATAAATAAAATGTTAAAATTGATATTGGGACTCTATTAAAAGGATAATTCATCATGACCAAGTTGAGAATAAAAACTTAAATGTTAACAAATTTATTGTGAATTGCATACTGCATAAAATTCACATTCAAACTTTATTGAAATTATATTGAATATATAGATTGATTAGGAAACGTTTTAGAAACGGATCCCAAATTCATAGGGAAGTGTGAAGGGTCAAGAAAAGAATAAGACAATTTTGATAAAAAAAGAAAAAAAATAGTCTTAGCTGACCTGATGGTAAAATTCCTTCCTTCCTTCCTTCCTTCCTTCCTTCCTTCCTTCCTACTCCTGGGCTCAAGCAATCCTGCTGCCTCAGCCTCCTGAGTAGCTGAGACTACAGGCATGCACCACCATGCCTGGCTAATTTTTTCTATATATTTTTAGTTGGCCAATTAATTTCTTTCTATTTATAGTAGAGACTGTCTGGCTCTTGTTCAGGCTGGTTTTGAACTCATGACCTTGAACGATCCTCCCCCCTCGGCCTCCCAGAATGCTAGGATTACAGGCGTGAGCCACCGCGCCCGATCTAAAATTTCTTTTAAGTTTATAGTAATCAAAGTGGTGTGGTGTTGGTAACCAACAGAGGAATCAAGCAGAATAGTGAGCGCATACAGGTGTGTACATATGTAAAAACTTGAACTAAGAGTGCGTGGGAAAGAGGCCGAGGCCCAAACCAGGCTCAGTGAGCAGGACCTTGGTAGAGCGTGGGTCGCTAAGCCAGAATGGTCCAATGATGAGCGTGAGGATAGATGACCTAGTGCAGTGACAGCCAATCAGAAGGGCCAGGGGACGCCCGCTCCCACCACAGGGGACGGAGAACGAGCAGGAATGAGAAAATGGACGCTGGCCTCTGGCGTCGCAGGAATATGAGGCCTGTCACCCAGTACCAGTGCAGGAGGGCAGAAGGAGCCCCTGTACCCACGCGCTCTCACCTGCCACTTGAAGCAAAAACTCGCGCGCTGTTGGTTGCAGCAATGACTGTGCGGGACAGTTAGGTTCCCTAGCCATTCAACCATGAAACCCACTTTCTTCTGAGACTGGAGTCAGAGAGGCAAGAGCTGGACAGAGCCACGTCGAGAATGGGTGAAGTGAGTGTGAGGGTCGACCCTGGGTCTCATCTGAGGTTTGGGGGCCCTAAGTCCTGGGAGGCAGGTGACTGAACTAGTCTACATAGGACCTATGATCACAGCTAGTGCACCTGAAGACACATTTCTTGGGTAGAAGGCTCTCAGGAGTGGATGAGACCTGGCCTCAATTCCTTCATCGTACAGGAGGAGAAACTGAGGCAAAGAGAGGGGGACTGATCTAATATCAATTGGCATTTCTCTTTAGCAGGTAAAGTATATTGCAGGGCTTTGAAAGTATCATGTTAATTCATAAAACCAGACCATCTGCTGAGTGCCTGTTACATGTTCAACACTTACTTCATGGAGCACTTCTCAAAATTAATTAATTAAATTTTAAAAAATAACAAACTCCAAGGCTAGGATTATTGTCCCAATTTTCCATATGAGAAAATAGAGAGATCAAGTTACTTGTTCTCATTCACTTAGCTGATAATGAAATCATAAATCGAATACAGGACTATCTATACCTTATAAATATAAAAATAGATAATTATCACTCAACTTTTTGGGGACCCAGAATATCCAAAGCCTTCTAACAGGCACAAAGGAGTGACAATATGAATGATGAAAAAAACAGTCCCAGACTTCAGGTAACTTAAGTTTTAGGGAAAAGAGACACCTTGGAGAGATGGCTGAGGATGCAATGCAGTAATTTAAAAGACAACAGTGTGAAGGATTGCAGGGTACCACGTGTGAATAAGAACAGAGGAAATCTTTACAGAGAAGATGGAATCAGAGGGTCAGTAGAGAACTTTCCTACATGAAAGTGGGTTTATAGGGATTTTGCTTGTGTTTAGTATCAGGCATGCACCACCACACCCAGCTAATTTTTTCTATTTTTAGTAGAGATGAGGTCTCACTCTTAGTCTGGTTTCAATCTCTTGACCTCAAGCAATCCTCTCTCCCCGGCCTCCCAGAGTGCTAGGATTACAGGCATGAGTGAACATGCCCAGCTAACACTAGTGTTTAACAGGGAGAGAAAATTGAGCTATAACCAATTTCTACTAGATATGAATTATTTTAGTGATTCATCAGGCATTGATTGCATATCTAATATTTATTTGTCCCTGTGAGACAAATGGTAGGAAAAGATGAAAGTGATACATTATCTATTCTCAAAGTAGTGGTTCATAACCTATTGGGGAGACACTAAGCATATTTGGTGTATTATCTTATTTGATCTTCAGCAATTCTGTGAAGTAGATCCTATAGCTATCTCTTCTTTTCTGAGGATGAAACTGAGGCACCAAGGGTTAGAGAATTGCCCAATAGCAAAAAAAAATTGTAACTTGTGCAACGTAGGCTCATACCGAAAGCTTGGGCTGTAAACTATTGCCCTAGTCACAGCGGCGTATTGTTAGTCCATACTGCTCATTCCAGGTGTTATAAATGGACACCACATGGTGCAAACTACCCTGATCCTTCCTAAAGTTAAATATAAGACAGAAGGTCAGGAAGAGTGTCCACAACTTCCATGCAGGGTCCCAGTGGGAAAGTTTGTTCTCTGAGCAGTTAAGTCAGATCAGATCCTTCTAATGAAGAACAAAACATAATTACTCCACTAGAATAAAGATAATTACTACCGCACATGCACTGCAAATTTTGCCAGACCTCTTTTAAAGTATTTTTTATGCTATGTAATTCTTGGCTTAAATATTAGTTCTCTTCTATCACTGCTATTAGGCCATTTTCTTCTCACTACATTAAAAAAAAAAAAATCCTGGTTGAGTTTCTACACTTTGTAGGAAATTTTTACTCTTATGTAAAGAAGAATAAAAAATATAGTTTTAAAACTAGGGACAGAATTTGACCATCAAAGCAAAAAAAAAAAAAAGTGGCCATTTAGTTATGCAAATCTTCTAATATATTAATACATACCATGAATAGAAATTTACTGAATAAAATATTGGTATTATAATGAAATACAAATAAGAATATAATCTTAATTATAAATTGAGGAGAAGAAAAAGAACCAAGAAACAAAACAAAAGAAGTAAATGACCTATTAGAAAAATAGGATTAGGAAAGCCACCTAGAAATGTACCTGTTCTTTACATGACCAAAGAAGTTCAAGCTACAAAGCTGTAATTAAACAATCAAAGCTGCTCTGAGTGATCATTGAAATTGAGCAGGGATTCAAAAAAATATAAAACCATAGTGACAGATCAGCATAGAATCTTTGGTCCAAAGGGAAATTTCTGAACTATCATTCATTGTCATCATTTATTGGCTGACTTTAATAAAGGCAATCATCTTTTATAATACTTTGTTTTGACATTTGGTTTAAAAAAGTGCAAATGACTTGCACAAGTACCATATTAGGAAATACGACATCTTTCATGTGTCTTACTGCAAAGTCCTTGGGCATTGTACCTTGGTTTACCATGTTGGGATTTGTTAAGGGGAGGATAAATCACGTGCCTATCTTAATCCCCTTTCTTTCTCTTCAGCTATTTCTGCCTGTTCAAATTACTGCTTATTACCATGAAGTTGGCTTAAGGCAGAGAGCCAGGATGAGGGTGAGGATACAAGGCAGCTAGGGAGAAATATGTGTCAAATTCAGAATCTTCCACCTCTTTCTTATCCAAACTCATGCTACTCTATCTTAGTTGCAGATGAGAAGAGTTGCCATTGAGAAGATGGGTCTGTATGCCGTCCTTTTGAATCTGAGTGGGATTGTGACAGCGTCTGCTAATAGAGTAAAAGTAGACACTGTGACATCCAAGTCTAGGTCCTAGGCAGAAGCCACATGTTCTTTTGGTTAGAATGGTTAGAACTCATTCTTGGTTTTCTGAGCCACTATATAAAGAAGTCTAACTACCCTGAGGCCATTTTATGAGGAAGCCCAAGCCACATGGAGAAATCATTAGCAGGCTGTGCCCTGCAGAGCCCGGACTTCAAATTATCCCAGCTCATGTGCCAGACATTCAAGTGAAAATGCCTTTTACATAATTCTAATAGCTAGGGTTTGAGTATTCCCAGATGAGGCCCCAGACATTGTAGAGCAGAGACAAACCATCCCTTCTGTGACTTGTTTAAATTCCTCACTCACAGGATCCATGAATATAAGAAGATGGTTGTAGTTTTATGCCACCAAGTGTGTTACACAGTAGGAGATGACTAGAACATTTACTGATCTTTGTATCCTATCTCTGTTTTAGTCTTTGGATTGTGAGCTGCTTAAGGGCAAAAACCATTCTTACTCATCTTCATACCCCAGCAGTTATAGGCAAGTTACAAATCTCACTCATTTTGTGTGTGAATAGACTGCTTTTGTCAGCTAAGTGGATTATTTTTTTTTTTAAGTCAAAGGAAAAAGGCAACTGCCCAAGCTAAGTGGATTAAACAATGAAAGAATTTCTTTCCTCAATTATTTTAATTTCTAAAATTTTCTTTCATTTATTTATTTTTATTTATTTATTTTTTGAGACAGGGTCTCACTCTGTCACTCAGGCTGGAATGTAGTGGCACAATCATAGGATCCTCTTGCTTCAGCCTCCTGCATAGTTAGGACTACAGGTGTGCATCACCACGCCAGGCTAATATTTTTATTTTTTGTAGTGATGGAGGTCTTGCTGTGTTGCCTCAACTGGTCTTAAACTACTAGCCTCAAGTGATCCTCCTGTCTCAGCCTCCCAAAGTGCTAGGATTACAGGTGTGAGCCACTGTACCCAACCTAAGCCTGTCATCTTTAAATTCATACAAGTTATTGATAAGGGCATATGCTAGCAGGATAAAAGAGTCTTTTATGAAAAAGAAATAGAAATAAAGGATAGGAACTCAGCAAAACACTATTTATTTATTTTAACTGTTAACACAAGGGTTCTTAAAGTGTGGTCTCCTGATAAGGCAACATCAGCATTACCTGGGAATGCAAATTCTCAGGCCCACCCCAGATCTACTGAATTAGAAACTCTGAGGTGGGTGGCTCCCAACAATCTGGATTTTAAAAGCCCTCCAGGTGATTCTGATGCATGTTGAAGTTTTAAGATCCACCATGTTGTATTAGAATTATACTGAGACAAAAATATATGTTGTTACTGGAAGGTCTTAAGGAGAAGCATTCTAATTGTATTTCTTCATTATTGCATTTTTTGTTTTTATGATACATTTGGTAGAAGAAAAAAATTGGAAAAAAACAGATAGTGAAAAAGCAATTAAAATAGTTATAGTGCAATGCCAACCAAGTAACAAACCTACAGCGTGTAAGTATATCTTCTTTTTGTACCTTTATAGGTTCTGAAGGCCCTATGGAAGAAGTATACTTATAATTTATGCTACCTCAAAGGAACTGACATGGAGTTAATAAGCTTTTATTCTTGCACAAGAAAAGTGCATTAAATAAGTGGTAGATATCATCATATAATGTGCTTTTTAATAATTTAAACTATAAGTGCTTTAGGGGTTAAAAGGAAAGAGATAATATATACAGTATAGGAATCATGTAAAAAGTCAAAAACAGTTATTTGATTTAGGTCTAAAATGTAGCTACAATTTTATTTGGTAAATGGAACTGAATAGGACACTTCGATTTAGGAAGAGTGGAAAGTACAGAAACAAGAGATCGAAGATCTAAGTAAAACTGTGGAAGAAAAATCGTGTGGGTTTTAGTATTGTATTGATGTGAGAATAGTGTTAACATTTAAGCTAGGTCTGTTAACATTATATCTATACTTAAGGAGACTGGATACTTTCAGACTTATGTTAGATGTCCTACAATTATCTAAAAAAAATTGTGGCATGTATGTTTGTATGTGTGTGAGTATTAGTGTATCTCTATGTGTATAAAAATGGGTGTTCTGGGGGAAAGGATATCTAAGTTTTTATTCTAGTCTCAGATAAATATAAGACTCTTCCCTTACTATGCAAATCAGTGGTATAAAGCTTGAGACCTCAAAGATTTTAAGGTTATACTATTTGGCGGGAATCATAAATATAGTTCTCAGGATTTGTGCAATAAATATATTAAGGCAGTACAAAGAAGATGTAGTTCTCTGTCAATGATATTTTATTTGAAGAAGATCACCATAATAGTTCTTTCTAAGAGTAGTGAAAATAAAACAACTTGGAGAGAATTAAATTATTAATTGTATAAAATTCAAGTCTTTAACAAGGCCTGTCATTTGAAAATTCCTTATTTTTTGATTAAGACCCTTGGAATCAACCTCTTAAAAGCTCCCTTTACATCTTTGTTTCTAAGTGTGTAAATAAGAGGGTTCAACATGGGTGTGATAATTCCATAGAAAAGAGATACCATCTTTCCCCGGTCTTTGGAGGCAGGGGATGGTGGTTGCAGATACATGTAGATAGCAGTGCCATAAAAAAGCGACACCACAATTAGATGGGAGCCACATGTCCCAAATGCCTTTCGCCGACCTTCAGCAGACTGTATTTTCAACACTGCATGGACAATAAAAGCATAGGATATAAGGATGAGTGTCACAGGTATCAGAAGGAATAGCACACTGATGAAAAATAGTTCAGCCTCATTTGCTGTTGTGTCAGCACAGGACAACTTAAGCAGTGCAGGGACTTCACAGAAGAAGTGATCCACTTCTTTGTGACCACAAAGCGGCATCTGAAGGGTCCATGTGGACTGCAATACTGAATTGCTGAAGCCACTAATCCAGGATGCAGCTGCCAACTGGAGGCAGAGCTTTTGGTGCATGATCACTGAGTAATGGAGAGGCCGACAAATAGCTACAAACCTATCAAAGGACATGACGGCCAGGAGAAGACATTCAGTAGAGCCCAAAGCCAAGAAAATGAAAAGTTGAGCCACGCAGCCACCATAACTAATTACCTTTCTGATGCTGCATATGTTCACCAGCATTTGTGGAACTGTACTTGTAGTGTAGCAAAGGTCCAAGAGTGAGAGATTGGTAAGAAAAAAGTACATGGGGGTATGGAGTTTAGAATCCAGATGTGACACAAGAATTATTGCCAGATTGCCAAAGATGGTTAAGATATAGGAAAACAGGAACATCACAAAGAGTGGAAGCTCTAGCCATGGTCGATCTGAGAAACCTAACAGAATGAACTCCTGTGGTATACTCTCATTTACCCAATTCATGTTAAAGGGTTCAACTCTTGGTTCCCTAAAATGTAAAAGTCACTAAGTTAATAAACACATATTTATTGACTCTGTCAGTTAGTTATAATCATTTCACTAGCGATTTGCATAAATTTATAGGCTGATCCTATTAACAATGTGAAAAATACATTGATAAGAATATAAATAGTTATCTGTTCAAGTATTTCCAAAGTGTTTATATATATATATGTAGCAGCATATTAGCAAAGTGAATTTCAAGAATTTTAAGGCATATTTTCAGTTTCCACATTCATAGAATTTATCCTTTGATATGTTAATGTTTTATAAATGCATTTTTCCCATTCCTTTTACCTCGATATTTACTATCAGGTACATGTAGATACAGCTTCTGCCATTTGAATTCATTCTAATTTCCCCACAATGCCAATGAGATTTCCTGGCTGTGGGAATTAGTTAAAATTGATAAGCCCCACCTTCATTACTCACTCTCCCCCAAAACAATGTAGGCAGTATCTGGTAAGTTACCAGACACAATTTAAGGAGACATATCCTTTCAGTCATAAAATTTGTACAAGATTATTTAATAACATCATATTTGAAGTTGACAGGCCTGTACTTATATCACTTCCTTCCTTTATTATGTATGTTGCATGACATTGGAATGTTTCTTATCCTCTGATCTTCAGGAATCTCATTTGTAAAATGAATACAATATAGTTATCATCTCTTATTTGCAAGGGATGCATTCCAAAACCCCCGGTGAATGTTTGAAACCACACATAGTACCAAACCCTGCATACTCTGCTTTTTCCTATGCATACATACCTATGATAAAGTTTAATTTGTAAATTAGGCACAGTAAAAGATTAACAACAACTAATAACAAAATAGAACAATTATAACAATATAGTGTAATAAAAGTTATGTGGCTGTGTTATTTCTGTCTCTCTCAAAATACCTTACTATACTCACCCTTCCTGTAATCTGTCCCTCTGATAACTGAGATGGCTAAGTGACTAATGGGCAGGTAGTGTACACAGCACAAGCATGCTGGACAAAGGGATGATTCATGTCCCAGTCACAACTGAGCTAGACAACACAAGATTTCATCATGCTACTTAGAATGGCACAAATTTAAAACTTATGAATCATTTATTTCTGGAATTTTCCATTTAATATTTTCAATTTGCAGTTGACTGTGTAACTGAAACTGTAGAAAGCAAAAACGCAGACAAGGGAGGACTATTGTAATGCTTTTCTAAGTTGTCTTGATGTAAAGCATAAATAATGTGAGGCATAAGTGCACACTGCTGAGCCTGGACTCTGGCCTTTAGAAATCGAGGCGTGTAAATGAAAGAAACTATAGTGATCCAAAGTCTAAAGTGCTCAGGGAAGAATTACTTATGATTTTTAGAATTTTAAATTTCCTGGGATTACTAATGGAAATGGCTCTGCCTGTTAAAATTCAACTTCCTATTCCCTTTATAACCCCCAAACCATCAACCCCAACAACAGGGGTCCTAGTAACTATCTGATGTGAAGTACAAATGTGATCTTTAGTGTAAATTGCCTGGTACTGTGCCTGGCACATAGAAGTACAGCTGTGTCAGTGAAAGTACAACAGTGATGCAGGAACTCTATGATGCTTTCAGCAGAGGCTATTCAGAGCCCTAAATTCCCTGGTGGGACTAATATGTCAACTCCACCAGCTAAACAGTTATTTATCCCAAGGAAATCTTAATAGGACATTATAAATTATTTTATTATTCTATCAATATCAACAAATCTATTTTTCAATTTCATTAATGCTCATCAAAATGTTAGAATGTGTATTTTCATTTTTTTTTACTTATTCTAGAACTGTTACTTCCCTAAAAAAAAGCCTCCTTGCTCTCATCTGAAAATAAATTCGAGATAGATAATCATGTATATGGACAGGAAATGATGTTCAAATGTATCTTTGAGTAAAAAAGGAAGTTATGAACATTTATATAGCATGATTCCATCAGTTTAAGAAAGGAAATATTTTGAGTGGCTCATGCCTGTAATCCTAGCACTCTGGGAGGCCGAAGCAGGAGGATTGCTCGAGGTGAGGAGTTCAAGACCACTCTAAGCAAGAGTGAGACCTTGTCTCTACTAAAAATAGAAAGAAATTAGCTAGACAACTAAAAATATATATAGAAAAAATTAGCTGGACGTGGTGGCGCTTGCCTATAGTCTCAGCTACTCGGGAGGCTGAAGCAGAAGGATTGCTTGAGCCCAGGAGTTTCAGGTTGTTATGAGCTAGGCTGATGCCATGGCACTCTAGCCTGGGCAACAGAGCAAGACTTTGTCTCCCAAAAAAAGGTGGGAATATAATATAATATTAGTATAATGTAATATTATACATAAAAACAATATATAAATAAAAAGCTACCTGGAAGAATACGGAAGAAAGTATTACTCCTGGGAAATGTAGATGACAAAGAGTAAAGCAGACTTTACTTATAAAAATGTACCTGTTTTTTGTTCTAATTTTTGACAAGCAGACATTACTTTTTAAATATTTTTTTAAATGACCCTACTCACCAATTTATTCTGTGTTCTACTCTCAGACTAGCATTGTTTTAGTTAAGACTTCAATCCCCAGGAATGTGCAAATCTTTATAAGAAATTTAACTTTTTTTAGCTTTTAATACTTCCTTAAAATTCATTTTCAATCTACAAGGGGCTTTTCTAAAGGATGGAGTGTGGAAGCGTTTTGTATCTAATTGGCAAAAGTATATATTGCCAAGGACTGCAGGAATCAGGCAAAACTGAATAAATGGCATCAGTAAAGAGAGCTTTCACATACTTCATGATTTCCTTGATTTGCATACACATTGAACAGAATCCCTCAAGTTCATATTATTGGGATGACTGAAATGCCCCAGTTTATCAGTAATGCCAAGTGTACTCTTGCTGTCCTGACATAGTTAATACTGGAATCACTTCCATTCTCAGCAGTGTCCCGGTTTGGATAAGTTATAAGAATTCGCTTTATATTATTGCTCAGAGGTTCTCTCACCATTGAGGACACTGCATGTGTTTTTTCCTCTAATATGGTTCAGTGGCCTTTCCTGATCAAGTTCTCTATCTGGCCTTTCTTCTTAAAACTCAACCAACAGACTGCCTCCACAAAAAGCCCTCTGAGCTGAAGATTACAGAAGAGAGAATCAGTTAACTCCTTTTAAATCAATTGAACCCTTTTTTCTGAGATTCAGTACTTACAGAAGTAATAAACTGCTTTGTCATCAATATAATATATTAGTCTATCCTGTTGTATGTATTTAATAATATCCCCTCATGTTCTGTAGTCAGGGCACAAGGAAGAGGGAAAATATTTATCACTCTACAGAAAGCACTGGAGCAGAATAACAATGATGGAGACAGAAAACAATGAGGGGAGGAAATGGGAAATTTCAGAGCACTGAATTCTCATATTCTGCTTTGCTCAGTTTTTTGCATGTTTTTCTACCTCCCAAACACATAGTAACTTCAAATATTTATCCACTTTTAATAGCATATCTTTAGATTAAATAGATGTGGTATCATTATGTATTTTCAAAATTTTAAGTAATTTGAATTCTGGTTTACATCCCTAATTTTAGGATTGAAGCATTTGTTGATAACTAAAAACAAAATAAAACAAAACAAAAACTAGAAAGTCCTTACCTGCATCTTTAGGATTATATCAGATAAGCTAATGAAAACTTACCTGTTAACACTTGCTCCAATTGCTTGCAATTGTGGCTAATATCTTAAAGGCTGCAGATTTCTCTGTTTTCCAATAAAACTATGTTGCCAACATCTCCAGATAACATTTTTCTCATTTTGAATAGCAACGTTCAATTGGACAGCAAAACAACACATTTGAATTTTGTGAGACACCAAGCAGATCAGAAAGAGAGCATAGCAACTGGATTAAAACAGAAGTCAATGGAAGAAAATTTAGAAAGTTGCTGATGGAATCTTTATAATATTTTTATCTGTGATCACTTCAAAATATTTTAACCTCTAGTTTAGAATGCTTGACTGCATGAATGTATATCATTACCTCCTTTTTTACCTGTGTATTGGCTGACCTTACATCTGTCATCTCCCTCTTAAAATTTTTCATTCTATACCTGAGCTTGTTCAAAAGGATGAGATTCAACAGAGTCTTGGAAGCATCTTGTTAAGCTGCACAATGAAAAGAATATTGAGATAAGAGAGGTAACAATAGTTTTAGTTCCAGATCTTTCACTAAGTCATTGTATAATTGGGCAAGTTAGTTAATAACTTTGAATGTCAGTTTTATCTTCTGTAAACTATGGGACTACTATTTTCTTTTCAGAATAAAAGCTGTCTACTTTTATGTTTTTTCAAATAATCTCATATCCTTATAAGATAGATTTCCAATACCATATTTTTCCTGGAATATAAGGATGAATAATAGGAGTCATTTTTTCTAATAGCTGATACATTATAGATTGGCTTTGCAGTGCAAGGAAGTTTATAAAAAATTTTCCAGTTCATAAAAAAATTAACTTCATAGGCAGAAATCTGAATTTATATGCTCAAAGAAATTAAATTACTTTCCCAACATCCTAGAGCTTATAAGTAGCAAACTGAAGATTAGAACCCAAGACCGACTTGCTCTAAAGTTCATATTTCCCATGGAGATTACAAACATATTCAAAATAACATTATATATAAAAATAAGACATATAGAAACTAAAGCCAAATAAGTCTAGTTTTCCCTAGCAATAATTTGGTCTTTGCTGAGATCTGAATTATAAACAATGAGTGCTTAGAACACTGACATTTTAATGTAATTTTATTGAACAATTTTTAGAAATGTATTTTACTTACCTCCATGTTAAATATTAGAGATAGATCCGTTTATTTTTATGTCCAAGGAGCCTTGAGTTCAAATAGGACTAATTTAAAGTGCACAGATACAACATCTTCATATACTATTTAGTTGTATAATTGATTCATGAAATTTATTCAACTTCTTTTAATTCCACTCAGTATGCAGCAAGTCATGTGAAGTCTCCAAAGTTAATTAGAAAATAAGGATGAAATAT